TTTCCAGTTTAGACACTGCCCTGAAGCAGTGAGTCAGCTGTGTGTGACACTGGCAAGTTGTTAGTCCATCTGTGTGGTTCACATCCCTTCCCACTCAGATGTGAGGCCATGTGAAAATGTTGGTACTGGGCTTACAGGCTAAATGAGCCGGTCACCTTTTCCAGCATTTATTACTGCATTATATACAAGGCTCTTCAGAAGAACCCATTAAGTATTACCAATAGAAGTTTAATCCCGAGCTGCACATTTAATAAGAGGTGAAAAAATATCCTCCAAGTCCGACAACTTAAAACTGGAAGACAGACAAGGAAACCAACTCCCAGTTCAAGCAAAACCTTACGAACCTCTCATCTGCAGAGATTAATATGTGCTATTTTGCAACACACATACATTAAGAGAAACGGTTGATGGAATGCATCAGCAACTGTCTTTCCTGAGGCAAACACACTGTGTATTCTTTCTTCCCACACTTTAAGTTCCTTCTCAAAGCAGACGCCAATCACATTTTTGCTTGGCGTGTTCCATATTCCTCACACCCACCTCACACATGTTGTATCTTGGTCTTGTGTCAGTCTCTTCCTGTCCTGCTTTACCATTTCTATTCAACTTACTCCTTCCTCCGTGTCCTGCTAAGGCTGGATCCAATGGGCTGCTGATTTGCATCTCATCTGTTCCTTCCACTTAAAGAGCCAACTCGTAGTACCTGACTCATCCATTTGGGAGCTATGGGTTTTTTTTTCTTTTTCTTTTCATTATATCAGGAGAGGGATTAATGTACTGTATATTCACTTGATTTCAAAGCTATGGGGAAAAGCTTGAAGGAACTCTGGAACTGGTTTTTGCCTGGTAGGACAGAGGGCCTTGAACCTGCTTCTGCCAGCTGCTCTATCCAACCCCATCAGGCAACTCAGATTCAGCAGACATTCTGGAGTGCACACAGGTCTTGTGGCAGTGTAATGGCACAAACTGGCTTCAACACATTGGAAGCAATTATTTACACAAAAACTGATTTTGGAGGCCCAAGTTTCTGTGGATCCATACCCCTTAACCCCCCCCCAAAGAAAAGCAGAGGAGATCCAAATTCAATTAGGTCCCATGAATTTCTTCAAAGTCTTTGCTGCTGAGTACTCATGAATTCCCATTGTGTATTTCCATGTGCATGCAGCTCTCTGCACACTGGCATGCCTGCAGGCAGGGTACACACACTAGACATCTCAGATTTTTTAGAGTTTACTATTGTCACTTAGCATTCTCCCCTCTTTTTCAAAGCATTCAGCAGGCACAAAATTGTACTTTCCAGACTGATTATACTTATCAGTGTGACTTAGAGATGTGATCTTTCCATTCCTGACCTTAAAGTGGTCTGCACAGCCAGGTGTTTCACACACAATACAGGCTGTCAGGTAGCTTCTTCTTAGATTAGCAAGTGTCTTTCTTTTGAGAAATACCCCAGACTTCATCTCTCTTGAGTGCAGTGTTTTAATTTACTATGTAAAACAATCCCCCTGTGTATCGTGCTCAGCAATGTGATAATTAAGAAAAAAAAATATTAAAAAATCAGGTCTACTCAGGATGGTTTCAAGTGCTAGAAGGCTTCTTCCTTGTTCACTGCAAAACAAAGATGGGGAAGATGATATTTCAAGATAACATGTAAGAAGTTATACAGCACTGAAGCATGGAAAAAGCCTCAAAACACTTGGGACCAGCTCAGTGCTGCTGCACTTACGTTTCAACCTAACACACTGCCAAGAGCAGAATGGAGCACTGCAGGCACCAAGTGCCATGAAAAGAGTACTAAGGTTGGCAGACTCACCTGGAGATCCAGGTGACTCTTCCTGAACCAGTAAAAGATAGACAAGCACTTGCACAGGGTTTTCACAAGAGTTACAGCAACGGCAGAAGCACAGCCAGCCAGACACTTCCTTGATTATTGTACAGCCATTATAAAGCTCATCAAAAAGCTTAGGCAAATTGTGTGGCATCTCATATGGGTTGGCATCTGCAGACTCCACCATTCTTCTGCCATCTTCAAAGGGGTCATAATTCCTTGGGAGCCACGTAAAACTGAAGAGCTCCCATTAAACCTTACAAATCCTGTTTGAGGAGGAGTTTTGTTTTGCACTTCACTTACCTATCAAAGTGGTGAAAAAAAAATAAAAATACAGCTGCCTCTTTGCTCGCCATCA